GCCTCTCAGCTTATTGCCATTCCACCCTGTTTTTTCTCCCATGGCTTCTTCTCTGGCTGCTTTTCCCAGCTGCCCTCTTCTGTCACCCAGCTCCTCTCCACTGTTTTTCGGCTTTTCCCAGTTCCCAGCTGCTGTCTGGCTCCCCAGTCATCCCTGTTCCAGCCCCACAGCTTCCTCTCCCAGCCCAGGCCTCCCTGCTGCCTTTCTCTGCTCTGCCACTGCCTCCTTCTCTCCCCAACCTTCTTCCCTGTTCCCTACTCTGCCACTTGGCGCCCTGTTTGCCCCCATTCCATTTGGGCATGCATCTTGCACAGATGTTGGGAGGGGATTTTTAAGGGGGGCTTATTTTTATTTAAAAATATCTAGTGTTCAGCATAAAGCCAACTGAACAGTTTCTGCAGCTGGAAGTTTGTTCTGATTTTCAACTGTATTGCACTTCATTTCTTGTACAGATTTTAAGGTTGCTTCTATCTGGGGCGTGTCCTCAAACCACCCTCCTGACCTGTAAAGGAAAGCAGAGTTCTTAAGTCAAATTAACAATGATGTGTGGCTTTTAAATAGCACTTTGTTTTCAGAGAACCCGAGTCAGGTGATTCCCATTTTACAGATGGGGAACTAACAGAAAAATTACATGACTTACCCAGGGGATTCCTGTCTTATTAGCTGGTACCTTGAGGAAGGAATAGGGAAGGAACATTTTGCTCTTGTTGGGTCCAGCTCAGACATTAGGGTTTATTTAAAAAAAAAAAAACAAACAAAACAAAAAAACCTGGTTTTAACAAAACTTAAGAACAACTTAGATGTTTTTCTCGGACAGTTTGCAAAAGTCCACTTTGAAAAAAATGTCCTTTTTATTGTGAAATCCTTTTCAGAATTTGCTGCCCAGTACGGTTGCCCGGTGCTAGACCTTGGTCACCGAAAAACTAGTCAGCTTCATTTTTTCTGGTTGCTCAAACGGAGTGTAGTTCAAGCTAAGCATTGGTGGCTAAGGTGTGCTTCCTACATAGTTTTATTTTAACTCTTACACATGTAAGATCTTTGTTAATAACCCAAGCAAGAAGCATATTGTTTAGCTTACCAGCTCGTTACTGTTGAAACAGGGGCACTTTTTCTCAAGTATGAAGGTAAACCATTCTTCTCTTACAGGCGAGATTTAGTAGCAAAAATACTGTATCTGGTATCGAATGTACAGGGCAAGTGGTGTCGGCTTTCTGTATGCTGTACATTTATCCGCGTTTCCTGATAACTTTACCCTAGATGATTTTGCTCCCTGCTGCTTAGACACGCACGGCATACTGACAGCTCACTTAATGTTTTCCAGGGTCCACACATAGCGTCCGTGACACTTGCTGCATATGAATGTAACTCAGTTAATTTTCCTGAGCCGCCATACCCTGATCAGATCATCTGCCCTGAAGAGGAAGGGGTTGAAGGATCCATCACTCTCTGGACCATCATCTCAAAAGTCAGGCTGGAAGCCTGCATGTGGGTAAGATTTAACTTGTATCATTTTACCTAACGTGAACCGCCCAGCGGTAATATGTAATGGTTCACTTTGGAGCCGTAACTTCTTGCTTAATCAGATGTCTGCTCGATGAGATCTGAACCTCTTATAAAGAAATAGCGGGTAAGTGGGGGGGATCAATTTTTATCAGCTGCTGTTCCAGGGAGGTGGTGGAGAAGGTGGGGAGGGAACTTTCTGGTTTACCAAATAAATTCTTTGTTCCAGAGTCCTAGGAAAACTGGGATCTATTTCAAAAGAACGGTTTTGAAAAACGGCCAGCGGTTTTCTCAGTGCTGTAATAGAAAATGCTCTGGCGCTTGAGGAGCTTGGTGCAAAAGACAAGGTTTTGATAGGCAAGTTAATGCCCCTTAATAGTCTTACAGACGCAAAGTCTTGATCCTTCAAGCAGTTAAGTGAGCAGCTTGGCTCTTGCAAGTAAGTCCTTGGGCCCTATTCATGAGTGAAGTTATTAATATGTATTTGAAGGGTCCAGACCCTGGTGTCCCAGCTGATTCATGTCGGCTGTGAGGAGACTATACATAATCCAGACATTAACTTCAGTGTACGGGGAAACATTTCCTTGCAACAAAGAGAAAACATAGTTGGCGAAGAGTGAATCTGGTTCTGAGGGTGGGTTATTAGGGTGGGTGTCCGTGACTGTCACCGCAGCAGCTCTGTCATCTGATTTTTTGGGGGGGGGTTCTTTTCTCTTCATTTTTCTTAATTTTATTTTTTTTAAGACTATAAATCAGCCAAGAGATGCTTCCCGTTAAATATAAACTATTGAAACTTAAGCAGGCACATCTGCTGTAAACTGCTCGTGTGTCAGAGCGCTCAATTTTACCACTGATTTCCTGTTCTGACCGTTGGTTTAATTATAAAATGCTTGTTTCTCCAATTTAGGTGTTGGAGGGGGAAAGTCCTGTAGTTCATGATGTCTAATTACTTCTCTTTCATTTCTGGGAGCCTTCAGTATATGCAAATAGCTTACCAAAAACTCCCATTTGTTTTGCTTGTTACAATTTAAAAAATGATTAGCAGCCAGTTTCCCACCAAGAAAGTTGAAGTTTAGATCATATGCACCATTTTTTTTCTAAAAACAATGGAAGAATAATTACAGAAATATTAATAAAGGCTGGAACGATCCATGACTGTGAAGAAGACACACAGTAAAGGTTTTATGCTCGTTTTCGCTAACTAGAGAGCAATACCACATAAAAGATCAAAACCAGGCAGAGTTAACTGAATCCATTATAAATGAGTATTTGTAAAATAAGGATCTTTATTTTTTTTTCTCTGCAGCCCTAAGTCTTAATGGAGTAGAAACAAAAAGAATGAACTTTTCAGCTGAAAGCTGTAGGAATGCAAAGAGAGGATAGCGCAGGATAAACGCACTTGCTGAGTCTTTAGTGTATGAAAGTGCTGAACTACAGTGAGGATGAAATGGTTTAAAAAGAAAAGAGTGTACAGCTACAGGCCCTGCAACTGATGATCATTGTGCCCCATAACGAGCCAGTGGTACCTTCAGAGTCCTTCCTTTGTGCTCCGTGCTGGTTCAGATCGTGGAGGACGTGGAGAAATCTGAACGAACCAAAGCGCTTTATGATCTGTGCTTTCTTCCTTCCCTCCTCCAAGCATACTGCCAGCTACCTTTTCATTGACCTCTCTCTCTCTCTCTCTCGCTACGTTTCCCCCTTGGGAGCATCTTCAATCTGCCACTGGGGTGTAGTGTAATGTTATGCTTTCTTGGAATGTTTCATGAGTACGTAAACACTGATTGTTAATTTCCTGCAAGTCAAATGAAGCTGGCTGCTGCTGAAACTTCTTCCAGTGATTTTTCTTTTGTCCTAACTCCTGTTCGCTTCTTTGGAAGCCGTCGAAGAAACTTTCCCCGGAGTCTTATCGCTGTTAAACCAAATAGCCATTTGGCTGGAAAGCAACACAGAGTTGCTGACAGTGAAATTGTGGATAGATGATTTTTTTTGCACCCTGAGCTAACAAAAAAGGCAAGAGGAATTAAAATCAGGAGCGGTAGGTTAAACTTCTGATTTGTGAAGTGCTTATGGCAAAGCTAACTCATCCAGCCTACTAGCCGAATCTGAAAGTGTCAGAGCTGTGGGTCAGCATTTAAGGCAGAGGAGCTATTAAAGGCAACCAGAAGAGCCTCTGATGGGTTGCAGCACATGGGTGTCCTGTGAGAGAATGATGCAATATGTCAGTTGCCTTTTAGATGGCTCGGTAGTCCCCCGGTGTGAAAGCCTGGCGGGTCCTTAATGAGAAGCTGACAGGATGGTGGTTGAGCTGTAAGCCGCTGTAGTAGTAACAAGATGAGAGCTGCGGGCTTGGCTAGGGCAGGGCTGCTCCACTCTTTTCCTGAAGGCATCCATTCAAAGAGCTAAAATCTCGGGCTTAGCTTCAGCAGAGACTAAAGCCAGGTTTAACTTCACTGAGAGAAGTTACCCCAGTTTGCCCCTCACTCGGCAATAAACAGCGATCAATAACGAACACTGGGATTTTGACCTAGTAATCTAATTCCAGTTGAAGAATGCAAAATCCCCAAGCGTTTTGAATCTCACTCATTGTCAAATGGGTCTCAGCATCCCTGACTTACACAAGGATTTGCAGAATCAGCCTGGTCAGTGCAGGACATAAACTAGGAATTCAACAGCGCCCTGCGTTGTGAACGCACAGCACTTATTTTTAAAATAAGGAAGAATTGCAAAGAATACAACAATCTTCTGTCTCAGGAAGAGCAAAAAAGTCAGTCTGTGTCCTGACCAGGATGAAGTCAGGGGGCAAAAAAGCAGCTTTCCAGATGACTAACTTACTATTTTTCCTCTTTGTGTAAAAGAACGCAGGTTAGTGTTCAGCTTTCTCAACCCGCATAAATCCAAAGAAACTCTTAAGTGCAGTTCAAATGAAAACTCTGATAGTTAAAATGAATAGCCAAGTGTGCGGGGGCGGGGGGGGGTAAATAGTTGTTGATCTGGGTTACTTAATTGTTGCCTTTTCTTGTGTACTGAGGGAATCTTCCTTGTAGAGGCAGAGTCATATGATTTCATTGCACTTGCAAGATATTTTGTAACAATGAGCATGTGACTTGGCCCATTTAAAAGGAGTTCACTTCCAGTGCACACGTGAGCCTTTCTCTTGGTTGACGACATAAAGCCAGAGCCACCCAGCACGTTATTGTGAAGCAACATAACTTTTTCTTTTCTTGTATCATCCTGAGAACTTAACCTGAATTAATTTTTTGTTTTTAAAAGGTTACAGCTTCTGTTTTCAAGCTGATCTTCCCAGCAACGAAAATCCACAGATGTATCCCTGTTTTGTTGTTCGCTATCGTGTAAATTTATTTCAGATAAGGGAGTGTGACCTTAAGACGGAGTTTAACAGCTTGGCTAATCAGTGCTGAAATGGTGCTTGGAACCAACCTGTTGGTTTAGAAATACAAAGCAGCTGGAATTCTCCCTTCCATACAGCTGCGTATGTAACGGGAACAAAGGAAATGGAAGGGCTTTGCATTGCTTCAGCGGCATATAAAAGCATTTGTGACTCGCTTTAATGGCCTTAAGAAAGAAGGGACATCTGCACGGAGCTGAGGTTTAGCACATTTCCAACAGAGTGCCCAACTATTGTGCTATTACCTGTCCTATATTTAAACTGTTTGGGTTTAATCCAAGTTCCTGTTTCATTAACCTCTGTTTATCCGTATGTTGAGTACTGATTTTTTTTTTTTTTTTTTTAACT